GACACTTCAGTTGGCAAGGGTGATTCTGTCTGTAGTTGAAGATGACGACTTCGGTTGTGTGAACTTGGTCCATATCCTGCAAAAACTTTAAATAACGTTACGTTTGTGGTTTGTGTTGATGTCGTTTGTATTGTCTCCTTATGTTTTGGTTGCACGCGCGTTGTCATATATGTTTTGGTTGCACGTGCGGTGTCATATACGTGTGTAGGTTTTGGCCAAAAAATATATATGTTGTAGGGGCCGGCTGGGACTGTTATCCATGATCTTCTCATGGGCAGCCCAGCCCTTTCCCATTTGATGTTAGTGTATAATATGTAACTGGCATGAGCATGGTTGAAATCTTAGTTGCCTCGGTAACTGCTTGATCTTGTGCTTCGAGATAGTCCTGCATCCATTAAAAACCGTCGAAGCTGGCCGTTGGCTTTGGGCCAACGGCCCTCTGATGATTAAGTCAGTAAAAGCAATGAATATATCTTGAAGCGGAAATGTATACTCTACACCGAATACGTCACAACTTTCTATGAACAAGATGACCACATAATGTTTCCATAAAGGATCCAAAATTTATTGAACTCAAGCTTAGAAATGAGATAAGTTAATCATGTACAAAATAACTCAAAGGAAAATGCATAGATTATTAAAGAAACCAAATTTTAACTAGACTCAATCTATTCTAAATCATTCACTCGGTTTTATAAATGATATGAGATTTTTCAGATTAAACTCACTGATCTGTCAGGGATCAAAGTAAGACAAGACGTCAAAGTGACGTACAGACTGACCAATGACCATGACGCTTTGACAGATTCGTCGTACCCGATACGTCATGGACTTATTGTGCGACGTATCAAAGAGATTTACCTGGCGCCTCATTCGGTTTCCTGCGCTCAAAACGTCGTTAGGATTGGTCGTTGGCCTTAAGCCAACGGCCCTCCGATGATTAAGTTAGTAGGTGATCGTTTATAGATAAATGAAAATAATAGATTAAGAATATGTATACCAATCTAGATAAGTTATCACCATAACATGTCTACCGTAGGACGATATGCCCCCCGTCTGACGATTTCAATCATTTCGTCACCGAAGTGAGTTATCACGAAAGTGACTCGTCACAGAAATGACTCGTCACGGAAGTAACTCGTCAAGAAAGTGATTCGTCATCAAAGTGATTCGTCACAAAAGCGATCCGTCACAGAAGTGACTCGTCACGGAATTGACGACAATATGCAAAAGAAAGTAACAAACTAAAAATGAAACAACTTTTAAGGGTACCGTATTGCAGCTCTTTAGAATCTGTCTATCATCGGACGATGTGCCCCCCGTCCGGGATATCAATCACTTTGTCTTGTTCATTTCGTCATGGAATGACGACTCGTTCCTCGGGTCTTGAATATGGTTTTCCTGACTTGTAATCAAGCCTCCTAGGAGATTCTGATTTCCCATGCCCCCATTCATGCTCAACATGTCCAAGACGGGATCGTAAGTCTTCTTCTAGACGGATGAAAGCTAACGCCTTTGCTTGGACATCTTCGAAGGATCGACAAGGGTATTTCGTCAGTTCTCGGTATAGCTCTGAATCTTCATATAAACCTCTTCTGAATGCTTCAATGACGGTAGAGACGTCACATTTTGGGATCGACACCTTCCTTACGTTGAATCTGTGCAAATAATCTCTAAGTGATTCACCATGCCTCTGTGTGACTTAATACAAGTCACTGGTCCGTCTTTCCAATACTCTACTACTCGCGAACTGTCGATTGAAAAGGTTGACGAGTTCGGCAAATGAACCGACGCTTCTATTCGGAAGATTGACGAACCATGTCAAAGCGGGACCAGCCAGTGTTATGCCAAATCCCCGACACATACATGCCTCTCTCTGTTCAAGTCTAACGGAGATGGTCGACATCACTTGCTTATACCGCGCGACATGTTCTCCAGGATCCGTGGTTCCGTCAAATGGCTCCATGGTTGGTACGTCAAATTTATTCGGCAGCTGGACACGAATGATCGACTCGTCAAAAGGTGAATCTTCATAACACGTTCGTGACGCTCTGCCCAAGGGCGTTGGTACCCTTGGCAATCCGTTGAGTTTGTCCTGCATCTGTCGCATTTGCTCCCTCAATATAGCCATCTGATCTGCCATATCCAGATGGAGGGGAACTGGAAACGACGATGTCGGTGCTGCCATCTGGCTGACTTCATGACAGTTTGATGATGGAGTGAAGATCATTTCAGGACGTCTTTCAGGAAACGTCGATGCTAGTAACGCGTCAAATCCGTCGTAGCGTCGCAGTTGAGGTTCTAGAAATGACACGCTGGGCCCATTTCGTCTGGCGTCCTGCATGAAACTTGATGGGCCGGCTTCTGCACCATTCCTGCTCCTGTAATGTGGGATTGACGGCCCTGCTGGGATAGGGGTCACACCAGTTGACGGATCGGAGTTGGATGGACCGGGACCTCCGCTGGTTCTGCTCCTATAATGGGGGATCGACGGTTCCGTCATGGTGGAGTACAAAGTCGTCGTAGGCAGGCTTTGAGTTGCTGCTTGCAAGCCTGATCCGTTTGCCCTGACCCGAAGAGATTCCGGGAAGAAACAAACCGGTATGTTGGCTGGTGGTGTCGTCGTTGGCAAGAGTGGCGTATACGGAATGACTTGCGAGATTACCGTTGAGCATGGCTCCCCAGTCGGTGTCAGTGACAGACCCAATGTAAAAGAGACTGGATCCGTCGATGATGCTGGTGGATCCGTCGATGTTGCGGGTGGATCCGTCACAGCTGGGGAGAAAGAAAGATCCAGTCGTGTTACGGCAGCCATTGTGTCACTCCTCCGGTTGAGCTTTGACTTTGAGGCTATTGACACCGCAGACTGTACCTGGGACCGAAGTACATCATTTTCCCGTTGGAGATGAGCCATCTTCTCCGCCATCTCGCGCCGGATTTCATCTCGGACCGTTTCTAATTGCTCATGGAATTCAATCAACAATTGATTTGCTCCTTCCATATGTGATCTTTTTCTTGCACGATGCCCCACGGTGGGCGCCAAATTGTTGAGGCAAGAAATTGATAATTTCTTCTAACAATTAAATAATCGAAAGGGGAATCGTACAAGAAAATATAACAAGAATTAATAACAGAAAGTAAATATTGAATTGATGAATTCGATTGATTTCTCTATAGTGTTGGTGAATGAATTTGATCGTAAGAAATGATCTCCTATTTAAACTAAAATCCCAATCTCCATGTGTTGTCCAACTATCCGCCAGAATAGCTCCCACTCCCCTTGTTACGTGAAAGTAGTTGCCCACTCCTATCAGCAATTTGTTTTCCATTTACTAATCCATCCTTATCCATCTTTCTTATCCTCTCGTGGGCTTTGACTCTTCTAATTGATGAACAATAACAAAAATAGGACACGTGTGGAACATGGGCCATCCTAGTAACAATTCTCGTCCCAACAAACCCATCACGGAAAACGCCATGGCGGCTGTGTCCGCGGCTCTGGATGTCGCCACGTTCAACGAAGAGCTTCACCAGTCCTCCTCCTTACAGGATGAACTTCTTATCGAGCTCACGTGGCTAAAATGGTTCCTCATTGACGGTCAACGGACCCCGGAAGGGCGGCAGCGGGCCGAGATCTGGTCCCCGGCGATCGAGCGCCTGGCGCAGTCACGATCCAGTCCGGTTGGGTCCACGTTTCTTCCAACCCTTTCGGCATGGCTGATCTCTTAACCAATCTTTCCTATCTAAGAGATAAACTCCAACTGTGCGTCACAAGTGCTTCATCTCCGGCTCCAAAAGATCCAGGTCAGTTTTAGTTTGTGATTATTTGACTTTGACATTACCCTTATCACTATCCATCTACTGCCCTACACAAACTTATTTACTCTTGTTTCAGCAATTTTCCCAAAATAAATTTACATAATAGGAAGTATTTAAAAATCAATGTATAAATACAAAAAAGTAAGCAATGGGTAATACTCCCTTCGTCCCTAATAAATTTGCCAAGTTTGACCGGCACGGAGATTAATAAAGTAAAAACTGTGTGGTTGAGGTTTGTACAGAGGAGATAGAATTAACTGGAACCATAAATTCTTTACTTAAATGGGAAAGTGGCAAAGTTAATGGGACATCTAAAAAAGGAAAATTGACAAAGTTATAAGGGACGGAGGGAGTATACACTTTTGAAGTTAAGTCTTGAAATGCTCTCTCTTTCAAAAATGGGTACATAGTTTATACTCCCTCCGCCCCGCAAAATTTTTCCCAGTTTGACTTGACACGGAGATTAAGAAAGTGGAATAAAGTGGAAATTTGTGGTTGTGATTGTGTAAATGAAAAAAGTGAAATGAATGTGACGGCCCAAAAAGGAAAGTGAGAAGAATTTTGTGGGACGTAGGGACTAACTTTATACATAGTAGTGTATTGTGTACGTACGTAGCTTCTTTTGGGTCCATATTTTTTACCAAAATGGATATGCTACACATTAGAATTTGGAACGGTCCTAACTAAAAGAAGAGTAAGATACTAAGATTATTGTTTTGAAAAGAGGGAGTAATTGTTAAGATTTAATTTCGAGAATGTTTTGAGATTGTATGTAAAAATACGTTGTGTCATGAATGTATTTTGTTTCCAACGAAATTGGTCCTAATTGGAGAACACCTACTAGTACATCTTATTCCCAAAATGGCACTCCGTACTTTTCAATTAGTTCAAACAAAACAACAATTGCTGACTTTGAGGATATCCTTTCAAAAATCAAAATGAGTGATTTGAATGAGTTTGAGGAAATATCTTGCATTGTGTTGCACTATGTTCTTTATTTTGAGATTTTCGCACATTTCTATATATATTTAAAGACCAATAGTTGAACTTAGCTAGATGATCGAACTTAGCTAGAACTGCTATATACGAAGTATATATTGTTTGTTTTATTAATTGCTGGATCGAGTACTTTAATTGGGGATATACTAAACTAAGTTGAGAATATGGGAATATGTATTCAGAATTGCCAATATCTTCCGTGAAGATCCCTAAACAAATAAAAGAGAATATTAAAGTGGCAGCATGGGGAGGCCCGGGAGGAAAGCGTTGGAACTTCAAATTTGACGGGACATTGAAGCAGATCACCGTTGCAAATGGTGAAGTTATTGATTCTTTGCATTTCACCAGCCTTAAATCGGATGGTTCGTTGAAGACTTTAAAAATTGGAGGTTGTGGCGGTTATAGAACTAGCCAGGTTAACCAACTTTAGTTCTTTTGATTTAATTGTGTTTTTGGTCAACCAATATGGCAATAAATGGACTAATTAAGAATGTGTTGGATGATCATGTAGATTAACATTGATGGAACAGTGGAGAAGTTGACGCAAATAAGTGGAACGTATGGATTTTACACCCACTATATTGTGATCAGATCCATCACATTTCGAACCACCTTGACTACTTATGGACCATACGGTTCGAGCAGTGGTGCACCATTCAGTAGTGTAATGCACAAGGGAGGAAAGATTGTAGGGCTACATGGACGAGCTGGCCAGTTCGTGGATGCTGTTGGTGTATTTTATCGTCTTTAATCGGTGTAATGTCCCCATATTTTCTTTTTGAAAACTCTTTTATCTTTCTATTGTGGGTATGGGGTTCAACCTTCTGGCTCATATTTGCTGAAAATCTATGGACTTACGTACATATGCTTATGAATTTTAAATAAACAATCTAATGGTTCGAAATTTTAAATAACTGCGCTGTTTAACTTCGCAGTTATCTTCACAAAATCATTTGATTGCCTTTCCGATTGAATTTTTAGCTGAAATTTGGTATGAGTAAACTAGACTTAATGAAGAAGATGCTCAAAAACTTTCATCAAAAAATTCCACCGGGAACCGCCCCAATTGGCGACGGCCGGGCAGAATCTCCTATATAAGGGGCTAATTGAACACTTTAAGTCAGTTCAGGGACCTATTTGACCCTTTAGCCAAAAATAAATGAGTAATTATTACCCTAGGATTAAAAATGTTCTTGTATGTCAAAATAGGACTATCATGTTTTTTATTTCCAAAATATGATTAATTACTTTCACGTTTTGACAGTACCAAACTTTAAAGATTACAGTACTTTCCAAACTAGGCAATAATTACTCATATTTTGGAAATAAAAACACGACAGTACTATCTTGGAATTTTCAAACTTATTTACTCTTGTTTCAGGAATTTTCCCAAAATAAATTTACATAATAGGAAGTATTTAAAAATCAATGTATAAATACAAAAAAGTAAGCAATGGGTAATATACACTTTTGAAGTTAAGTCTTGAAATGCTCTCTGTTTCAAAAATGGGTACATAGTTTATACTCCCTCCGTCCCGCAAAATTTTTTCCAATTTGACTTGACACGGAGATTAAGAAAGTGGAATAAAGTGGAAATTTGTGGTTGTGATTGTGTAAAGGAGTGTTTGCAGTTGATTAAAAAAAGCACTTTTCAGCTTTTGACTGAAAAAAGTTAAAAAGAGTGTTTTCAAATGACAGCTTCTGCTTAAATTAACCACTTAAAAGCTAAAAGCTGGAAGCAGGTGGAAGAGTGTTTTAAACTGCTTTTCACTTTTTCTATTACACAAAAAGTACTTATTTTACCAAACACTACCAACTTTTACTTTTTCAGAATCACTTTTTCCTCAAACACTACCAACTTTTACTATTAATCATTTTTCCCCAAATCACTTTAAAAAATCACTTTTTTAAAGTTGAAGCAATTGCAAACACTCCCTAAGAAAAAAGTGAAATGAATGTGACGGCCTAAAAAGGAAAGTGAGAAGAATTTTGTGGGACGGAGGGAGTAACTTTATACAGAGTAGTGTATTGTGTACGTACGTAGCTTCTTTTGGGTCCATATTTTTTACCAAAATGGATATGCTACACATTAGAATTTGGAACGGTCCTAACTAAAAGAAGAGTAAGATACTAAGATTATTGTTTTGAAAAGAGGGAGTAATTGTTAAGATTTAATTTCGAGAATGTTTTGAGATTGTATGTAAAAATACGTTGTGTCATGAATGTATTTTGTTTCCAACGAAATTGGTCCTAATTGGAGAACACCTACTAGTACATCTTATTCCCAAAATGGCACTCCGTACTTTTCAATTAGTTCAAACAAAACAACAATTGCTGACTTTGAGGATATCCTTTCAAAAATCAAAATGAGTGATCTGAATGAGTTTGAGGAAATATCTTGCATTGTGTTGCACTATGTTCTTTATTTTGAGATTTTCGCACATTTCTATATATATTTAAAGACCAATAGTTGAACTTAGCTAGATGATCGAACTTAGCTAGAACTGCTATATACGAAGTATATATTGTTTGTTTTATTAATTGCTGGATCGAGTACTTTAATTGGGGATATACTAAACTAAGTTGAGAATATGGGAATATGTATTCAGAATTGCCAATATCTTCCGTGAAGATCCCTAAACAAATAAAAGAGAATATTAAAGTGGCAGCATGGGGAGGCCCGGGAGGAAAGCGTTGGAACTTCAAATTTGACGGGACATTGAAGCAGATCACCGTTGCAAATGGTGAAGTTATTGATTCTTTGCATTTCACCAGCCTTAAATCGGATGGTTCGTTGAAGACTTTAAAAATTGGAGGTTGTGGCGGTTATAGAACTAGCCAGGTTAACCAACTTTAGTTCTTTTGATTTAATTGTGTTTTTGGTCAACCAATATGGCAATAAATGGACTAATTAAGAATGTGTTGGATGATCATGTAGATTAACATTGATGGAACAGTGGAGAAGTTGACGCAAATAAGTGGAACGTATGGATTTTACACCCACTATATTGTGATCAGATCCATCACATTTCGAACCACCTTGACTACTTATGGACCATACGGTTCGAGCAGTGGTGCACCATTCAGTAGTGCAATGCACAAGGGAGGAAAGATTGTAGGGCTACATGGACGAGCTGGCCAGTTCGTCGATGCTGTTGGTGTATTTTATCGTCTTTAATCGGTATAATGTCCCCATATTTTCTTTTTGAAAACTCTTTTATCTTTCTATTGTGGGTATGGGGTTCAACCTTCTGGCTCATATTTGCCGAAAATCTATGGACTTACGTACATATGCTTATGAATTTTAAATAAACAATCTAATGGTTTAATTTATATGTTGCTGCAATGGCTATATACGAAAAGATCTAGTGGAAACTGTGAGAATAATATGGAAGCGTACCTCAATGGTAGTCACGTAAGTATTATTTATAATAAAAGAGTCAAAGATACATCAAGATTCATACTACAATTAGACAACATAATTAATATTAATAAGGGAAAGTTCCCGAAATAGAACTAAAAAAGTTTGAAAATTCCAAAATAGGACTGCCATGTTTTTATTCTCAAAATAGGACTAATTACTGTCGAATTTGGAAAATACTGCCATATTTGAAGTCTGGTACTGCCAAAACATGGCAGTAATTAGTCCTATTTTGGGAATAAAAACTTGGAAGTCCTATTTTGGAATTTGCAAACTTTTTTAGTCCTATTTCGGGTAATATCTCTATTAATAAATACATTATTACACCCCCTCAAGCTGTGCAGGGGAAATAATGCGCAGGTTGTCTCGAAAAAATGTAAAGCGTTGTGGAGATAGACACTTCGTGAAGATATCTGCCAACTGAAGCTGAGTAGGAACAAATTTAACCTGTAAATCACCATGGGCTACCCGTTCACGAACAAAATGATAATCAATATTAATGTGTTCGCTGCGAATAGGATTTGCAGATTACTACGAAGCAAATACATTATCACATAAGAGCTGAACAGGTTTGTCGATGGAGATTCCCAACTCGAACAAAATGGAATGGATGTGAAGAGTATCTTGAACAGCGTGGGCAATAGCACGATATTCTGCCTGTGTAGAAGATCTGGAAATTGTAGTCTATTTCTTGAACTTCCAGGACACCAAATTCGGACCAAAAAAGATAGCAAACCCAGACATGGACATGTTGATGTCTGGACATCCTCCCCAATCAGCATCTGAACAAGCCAGTATAGTGGGTGCTGTAGAACTCGATTAAAGAAGTAGCACAAAGTTAGACGTCCCTTGTAAGTACCTGAAAATTCGCTTAACAGCCAAAAAAAGTGTAGTACGGGGAGCATGCATAAACTGGGAACCAGGTGAACAACATAAGTAATATCAGGTCGAGTCATGGTTAAATACTGTAGTGCTCTTACCATACTCCTATACTTTTTGGGATCTGCTAACAGATCACCATCAGTTAGTGAAAGCTCGGTACGAGTGGGAAGAGGAGTACGAACAAGCAAATGTTTCCAATATGGTAGTTCCCAAAAAATGGACCTTTTGATCCAACTGTGAGTTCTGCCAAAACCGTCAACACACAAGTTATCATATAGAGAGCCAAACGGTGGAAATATGATGTTCTCCACACTCCTCAGAATTTCGACACCGGAAATTATTGGACAAGGTCTCCTGTACTCAGTTCCAGAAGCTCCCCACGAATGTGCATCACGACGAAAGACATGGTTATAATTATGTCCTAAGAACCTCCTGTGACATCACCACCAACAATTCAATAAGTTCTCCAGGCGAAAAAACATTAGAAATTCCATCTTCTGAAACTAAAACTTTTGATGTGATTTGACGTACAATAATTTCAATATGCCTATTATGAATCTGGACCCCCTGAGATCAATAAACTTTTTGGATCTTATGAATCAAAGAGATACGCTTTGCACTATAGTTAACTCAGCACTAATAAAAAATCCCCAATGAATTCCAAGAATTCCGGTTATAAATTTGTCCCAATCCACAAACCTCCTTTGTAGATTCCTTGATATGGAATCAACAGAACACACTTCTAAGACCTGTTCTACTTTCGGAAGGCCTTGTGTTATATCACCGGATCTTGATTTTTCGTAGTTAAAAGGTGATAAGTCCATTTTTGTACTTATTTTTCTTATCAAATTTAAGCGATTTTTGAATGAAAATAGAAAGAAAAGACACATTTTATATATTTTGGTTCAAGTTTCATGAAATCAGGTAAAAATCACATCCATATTATGTTTAGCGGGATTTCGGGTCAATTGAGCACAAAATGAGCCAATTTGGACAACAAATGATATCATACCGAAAGAAGGAAACATTATTTCAAAGTAGTCCAGAAGACAATATTGAAGAGCGCGAAACAAGGAACAAGCCGGACAAATAATCTCACAGGCGGCCGAACAGGCGGCCAAAATGGAGGCCTTCGCGGCCGCCTACGGTTTTTTTTGGAAAGTCAAACTTTGACTTTGACCGAATTTGGAAAAGACCGTAGGCCGCCGACACTGGACAGAAGGCGGCCGCCTACGGTGACCGCCTGCGGCAGAAGACGACGAAGCAACCGCCGGCCGGTGGGATTTGACGGCAGGCGGCCAGACAGGAACGGCAGGCGGCCGCCTGCTGGACCGCCTGCGGCGGCCGGGATCCGCCGGGATCCGCCGCGATCCGATTTGCCAACGAAAAGACGGTAGGCGGCCAGTTTTGATGGAAGGCGGCCGCCCTCTGTGGCCGCCTACGGCTGACGGAGACCGGCCACGACGTGTTGCCGGCGACTTGACGGCAGGCGG